AAGGAAGGAAGGAAGGAAGGAAGGAAGGAAGGAAGGAAGGAAGGAAGGAGGAAATCATTCGATTCCTTGAGTTAATTATCACTATATTTTATTGTGTTGAGTCGTTTTTCTATTATAACCTTAGATAATCAGTAGGTATTAGCTTATTTCTACTAACCGACGTATTCCCATAGCGAAACCACTTGTCATGTTGATCAAGGTGGTGCGCAGTGTTTCTTCTTTCTCTCTCTCTCTCTCTGGCTTTCTGTTTTCGAAAGGTGTCCGCTCTGACTTACAATAAGAAAGGTACTGAGTTAAAAGTATAAGAAAATTGCCTTCCGTTGTTTTGGGGACTTATTCTACGTCGGTATTAGCTGAAGGAACACACGCTCCCTTGGCTATAACACCTGTGATACAATGAATGGAAAAGAATATACGAAAAAACCCCAACTGCATGACATCGGACAACAATTAATGTCTYATTGGGAACATTTCAAGCAAACAACGATCTGCATATAACGCACCAGATGACGGGGGGCATTAAAATCTAATTTATCGAAGCACAAGTCAGTCCTTTTACGTTACCTTGTTCTGGAAGGTCGGTAAATGACTCAAATTTAAACAATTTTGTTAAGAAATTGAAGTAAAATGTATCTTATTGATTTGAAGCGAAATGCCTCGATAATCAGATTAGCGCGCATCCCCATATGGTGCATGGATAACACTTTGCAAGGAACGAATCCTTCAAAATCGATAAAGAAAGAGATATCTCTTGCGATAAACTGGAAATGACTCATCGATCCAATAATGACATTTTTTGGCAAACTTCGTGAATTATTAATCACTGTATTTGAAAAGCCTATTGTATTTAATTATCTTGATCTATACATGAAAACGCTGAACTATAAGACTCATGTGGTGGCTAGTGATGAATATTTATAACCGTCTTGCAATGGAGCGGCTAATTTTCCAAAAAGAATTTAGCTTAAATAATTCAGTTCAGATCTTTAACTGTTAGTAAGTACAGTGTACCTAATGCCTTACAGATGTAAAAGCCATTGAAATACTATTTATATAGAGTTAAATTTCAAAGTAAAATAAAAAAAAAAAAAAAAAAAAAGGCGCGGATTCAGTTTAATGCGGATTGAAGTAGTTCTGCCCAGTTAGGTTAAAAATACTGACCCCACACAATGTTTTATGGCGAAGAGCAGCTTTGAAAAAATCGAAAAGTGTGGTAAACTTGTGGCTTAGTGGYAGTCTGAGAAGTCTTGAAGAAGGCTGAATAGAAACGACTAAAATGCCGATATAATTCCGCCACTGTATTTTCAAATGACTTCAAAACTGTGATAAGCCACACAGCGGATAACACACCCTTGAGAGAATCCGAATTTAATTTACTGTTTTGGAAGTTGAGCCCAACGACTTAGTATTTACCTTTATTTGTTTCCTTCTCCACTGGTGACCGGATTGATGAAAAACATTGTATTCAATTAACTACAGTAGTTTTGCGCAAGTCTCGAGCTCCCCGTGCAAAGGTATTTATCTTATCTGAATTTTTTTCTAGAATTTTTGTTTGGCAATATAGGCTGTATGTAGGCTCTCAAAATGGTTAATTTCCAAATTTTACTGTAAATTACTACCCTTTGAAGGTGATTCCCATATCACGGAAAGCACATAGCACTGACAGTGACCGAATTCTCGAAATCATTCCATATCTAAGCAATTGATTTGACTCAAAACTCGAAAGGGCAAGCGAAATTAAAACTTGTACATAAGTAATATATATAAATACTTTTTTCTTTTTGTTGAATAAAAGGGTTTCATATGAATAAGTAAAACAGGGGCATTGATGTTCTATAGTTATGGTGATGAAGACGCGCAATTCATTAAAGATTCATCTTCTTATTAACAAAACTAACCTTATGAAAATCTTACTAGACGTAAAGAAATTTCTGAAAAGATCTCTGGAACATCTCATAAAAGGATAAATGTTAAGTGGTGTATATTTTACTTTTTTGCATTTTCCCTATTGGTCTACAGGAAGGGATTTCTCCAACTCAAAAAGAAAAAAAAGTCAGACTAGCCGATGACAATATTTCTGAAATTTAATTTGTGCTGGATGTTGATTGATTTTTTATCTTTCCTTGCAGAATTCCAATCCACGAATTGACCAGCCATGTTTCATTTGCCTCAACTTTGCTTCGTATATGGACTTCTTATGATCCAAGGTAAACACGAGTTATATGTTATAAGGTAGATGTTCTTCATCAAAGTAATATATATATTTCCTTGTATTAAAGTTTGGAATTATCAAAACCGCCGCGGCGAGATATCCTCCAAGTTGAAGCCGCCAATTATCCGCGCGCGATGTACATCATGACAAATTTTCCATACGAACGAATCTTTGTTGTCTAAAACGGACAACGAATTCTATAATTTTGTTTGAAATAGCGAAACTAATAAGCATATGAGCGAAATTTCTCACCAAGAATGGGTTTCCTCACCACATATAGCCTAAAGTACTTTTCGAGTTGAAAATCTTAGCTGCATGCCGTTACACACAATTTTTTTTACCCCATCATAGTAGAGATGCCATCGATGGTCTTGGGAAAAACTGGCTATTTCTCGTGTATTGTTTTTCTTATTGACTTTCTATGGCTTTTGCTATGACTTTCTTATTGACGGTACATTATGTGCTAGACTTTAATGAATTTTCCAACTAAGCTTGGCTGGAGCAACGGACTGTTCCTTATATGCTGATTCAGGAAATGTGAGGCATGGGGGCACATTTTAAGAGAATCTTCTGTTGTCTTATGTTGTTAAAATCTTATGTTGCCTTTAGGTCCGTATGAAAAAAAAGCTCCAGCCCCAACCCTTCCTCTCTCCCAAACCGCACACACGTGTCCTCCGTCGTTCCTGTGTTTCAACGAATCTAGTATTGAAATGGACAAGTGTTAGAAATGACGTTTGACTAATGATTGTTATCAATCCAACAGAATGTTACGGAAGCAGATACGAACGAGCACTGCTTAAAAAACTCTTAGAGAACTACGACAAACAAGAAAGGCCCGTCATCAATGATAATGACACCGTTAATGTTGTATTTGGTATGACTTTGAATCAGATTATTGATGTGGTAAGTATACTAAGTATCATGCATATATTGACCGAACTAGGCTACCTGTGCTTTATTGGGTAATATAGGCCGTTTTCGATTTAGTCAAATACCGCTGTGTTGATCAAAGACTCATTTATAGAACCCTTGCACTAAATCCCGAGAGGAATTGTTCTGGGGCATAAAACAATGCATTTTCTTTGCATAAGAAAAGACAGATATCGGAGTTACACTGTTGCCTTCAAACAATTGTTTCAAGTCGAGGCATTTGGGTCAATACAATGAATATATAGAAACTGACCCAAATGTAACAATTGTCTAAAGGCCGCAATAGAGTGTAACTCCGATGCTATTTCATAGGAGAAATCGAGGCTTTCCTGTAGAACAGAGAATTCGAAGCTGGAGTATTTTCCAAGCATTTAAAGTGGCCGTGGAGCCGCCTTGCGTCCCAAAATCGGTCCCTATAGCTAATTATTAGTTTTGACGTTTTCAAATTTGACGTGTCACGTGATTGTTCACTCAAATATTTAGCTTGGTCGTAATACTTTTCCCATACGCAATCCTTATTTAAAATGCGAAAGTTTCTTTTAATTAGGAAAATGATAATGCAAACGTCTTTTCCAAGAAAATTTTCGCGGAAGCTAGTTTCTTTAATTGGATAAAGGATTTGAACACTTGAATGGTTGCCGTGCTTCTGGAACATTCTTTGGTATTTATTCATTTCTTTGGACGCAACAGTCCAACGACCTTCATGTTTACCATAAATAGGTCACTTCAGTATATAGCTTTATGACTTTGTTAATCAACAGGACGAGAAGAATCAAATATTGACTGCAAGTGCCTGGGTCAGGCAGGTGAGAGGAAGTAAAAATATTGACATGGTTATTAAGGTCGACGTGGTTTGTTGCAACCTTATTGGTCACGTGGTGTTATAACGACTACAGATAGAGCGGTGTTTGATAAATATAGAATATCCACGTTTATCGATCCATTCTATCCACCCAAGCCATCAATAGACAAGCCATTGAATCGTCTCATCTGTCTATTCGAATTTGCGCATCCATATTTCTATCCATTGTTCCTTCCCGTTGATCTATCCTTTCATCACATCCACCCAACCGGAAATCTTTCCATCCTTCTATCCATACATCCGTTCACTACTCAACCATTTATCCCGATATATTTATTTATTCATCCATTCTTCTACCTTACCATCCATGCATCCTTCTATCTATCCCGTCCATCCCTACATGCATGCATTTACCTATTCACCAGTTACTTATATTAATATGGACTAAATTTTATTCTTTTTTTCAGACCTGGTATAATCCCTATTTATCCTGGAACCTAACAAAGTATGGAGGTTTAAGAACTATCAACATTGACCCCAAGGTCATCTGGTTACCTGATATCGTACTCTATGATAAGTAAGTAGAAGAGAGTTCGATCCCCGTCCTGGATTCTTTCATGGGGAGATGAAATTTGGTTTACTTTGATTAAATAGCGCTTTGAAAGTCCATGTGACGTCATATCCGCCATGCTGGTTGACATGTTATGTTTTGTTCCTGCGCATGTGACGTCATAGCCATCATGTTGGTTAAGTTGAACCGAAAATATTTGGTCTTTTTTTGTTTTTGTCATATCAACCAACAGGGCGGCCACTTTTGCCTTGGCATCTGACGTCATAGCCGCCATGTTGGTTGACTTAATTAACAAAAGTTTTAAAATAGATCTTAGTTCCTTCATATCAACCAGTATGTTGGACACTCATTTTCTCTTTATAATAATGGTAATGAATGCGCGCCACACAATAAGTGAGTGTAACGATAAAAATTGCCACCGAAACAAATTACGTCATTCCTCGTCCACCTATTATTGATCATATAAATGAATAATTACGTAATATCACGCGTTTTTTAGTGCTGATGACGACCTGTCCTTTAGCGGTAACCTCGACCGGCTCAATACTCGGGTAGTTCTACATTACACTGGCCGTAACCAATGGCTGGCACCGGTAACATTCAAGAGCAACTGTCCAATCAACGTCAAGGATTTTCCCTTTGATACACAGTATTGTAACATGAAGTTTGGATCGTGGACCTACGATGGCTTCCGCTTGAATGTTATGAACGAAAGTAAAGAAGGTACGAAGGGAACTATTTTAAAATACCTGTTACCAAGACAACCCGTTTCCTTCTACTATGCGAACGTCTCTTTCATTATTTCATTCTCTTCAGTAACAAACATTGTAAACAAAATCAGTGCGGACCCAGAACGAGGGGTGAATAGCTGTGTTACCGAAAGGCATCCATAATATTCTTGGGCTTTTAGCTTGTCATTTGATTCATCCTAATTTTCAACTCCAAAAGGGGTAGCCTGGCTAGTCACCCAATACATCCTCCTGAATCCTCCCATGAAAACGTTAGGCTCCATTTCAAATGTTTTTATCTCTATTGTGGTTAGATTTTAACTTTATGGTCAATTCCAGCCGATCTGGGGAAATACATGCCAAGCGCTGAATGGCACCTTGTCTCAGTCCCAGCAAAAAGGAACGTTATAAAATATTTCTGCTGTGAAGAGCCTTACCCTGATGTCACCTTCACCTTCATCCTCCAAAGACGATCGTTATTCTACATGATGAACCTAATATTACCGCTGGTCACAATTACTATACTGGTGAACGTATCGTTTGTTTTACCGGCTGAATCAGGTAAAAAGAATTTGCGGCGTTGTTTGATTTTATCAATACCGAGCTTAAATTTAACAGATCAAAGTCGGGGCATGGCTAACTCACAGATTGAACCCTTAAACAACCCCCGAGTTGATCTAAGTCAGGCTAACTCACAGATCAAACCCTGAAACAACCTCTGGGCGGGTGATTTAAGTCAGGGCACGCCTAACACACAGATTGAACCCTGAAACAACCCCCGAGTTGATCTAAGTCAGGCTAACTCACAGATCAAACCCTGAAACAACCTCTGTGCGGCTGATTTAATCAGGGCACGCCTAACTCACAGATTGAACCCTGAAACAACCCCCGAGTTGATCTAAGTCAGCGCACGGCTAACTCACAGAATAAACCCTGAAACAACCTCTGGGCTGATCTAAGTCAGGGCACGAATAACTCACAGATCGAACCCTGAAACAACCTTTGGGCTGATCTACAGTCAGGACACAGCTAGCTCACAGATCGAATTTGAAATGCGGAAGGAGGAAGAAACCGGAGGAAAATTAACAAGAGACCCAACAAACGGGCGTAAAATAGTCCAAGAAGAGKTAATCAGTGCTAATATCTACGTTTTTTGTCGATTCCAGGTGAGCGAATCTCTCTTTCCATAACGATCCTTCTAGCCATGACGGTGTTCATGTTGGTAGTGGCCGAGACAATCCCACCTACGTCAGACGCCGTTCCTCTTATCGCGAAGTTCTACATGGCGGGAATGATAGAAATGGCCATTGCTCTCATATGGACTTGTTACATCTTGAAGTACTATCATTCAGACTGCATGGAGATGCCGAGTTGGGTACGAAAGTACATACTCGGGTATCTTGGCAACTTCTTCGGAATTCGCATGGAAAACCTTAAGCGTTTCTCTGAGCATTCTAATTTACGGAAAGACGGTTTCCAAGTGAAGGAAGAAATAACATTCCACTCTGAATCCCCTTCGAAAAATTTCCGAAAGCACAAACAAAACAAACTGCTTAAACCCGAAGACCATATCGAGAGTAACGACCCCTTCGAACACTCCCGCGACAGTTTTAAGAGAAATGGCTACGTATCGACTTCCCTTCGACCTCTTTCGAGTGGGAATCTAGAAGGCATGTCCGACGATTCCCCAAACAAACCAATCTTCGATCTTGGTGAAAAGATCTTAGAGAAAGTTGAGACATTGGTGGAGAACTCTGTGGTTGACGACAGGGTTAATATCCATAAGGAAGAATGGAGGATTGCAGCTATGGTGATGGATAAGGTATCATTGTGGGTATTCAGTTTGACGGTGCTGATCACTATACTAAGCTGCTTTCTGCAGGCACCAGCGTACGTTGCTTGAAAGAGAGCAAAGCCAGATGCTTCTGCTATCAATTATGGCACACGTCACTCAATTTTGGTATACCATCCAAGCAAATTTACCTGGAGTGTGATAGGGTTTTCGAGAAGATCAACTCATCCCCAACATAATATTTGTATGTACTAAGACTACTTAGTGACGGCAAGGAAATAGGCTATTAGATGTCTGGTAAAGAGTTTGAATATTTAGATTTCTTACTCAGCCTGACTCAAATTGTGTGCTTAAAAATCGCACCAAATAAATAAGTGTAGAGTGTTTTCTTTTGGTGCGCTGATTTTTTTTAGAGAACCAAAGTTTGGCTCACACACGAAGAGCGTTCTCATGCAATCAATAGAGTCGAAATTTTCCTCAATGTATATGCAGCTCAAATTTTACCTTAAAACGAAGCAGTTTGAGAGGACAAGGWGTGAGTCTTTTGATGACTTCAGCTATAGGTTATACTTTATTTTTCTTAAGAAATGCGGCATTACGATGCTAGGCAAGGGGCTAGAATATTCGCGAGGTCATAACTGGGAAATAAATTGCTTTACTATACCAGAAAAAAATCAAATAAAGAGAAGAGATCTGCACTGACTTAATACCAGAAGATGGAACTGATCTTGGAACTAGTCCTAGTCTTATTAAAAGCTGTCCAGGCTACTGTGGCTCAGTGCTGCGACGAACCGATATTCTTACAATTACAGGAATGTAATATCTTGACAGGTTATTTAATAGAAACGGTTCTCCAATTGAGTTACGTCTTTCAAACGACATATATTATAAAATCGTGGGGAAAAGTGTAAACTATCTGTTCCATAAATAGTAACTTAAGAATAAAGCATATTTATGAAAAGTTATTCAGTGACTGACTTAAAAGAAAATTCGCGAAGTATCTTGGTAGCTGTAGTAAAATGATGCCATAACGCAAGCTTGCAAACGTCCTATTCATCAATGACAGAATATGCATGTGCTTTAGTCATGAGTTTTACGTCAGTCATAAACCATAGTCCTTCCATGACTATAAAAAAACAAGACTACAAGAAATTGCTGCAGCATGTCAGCATGTGCGATGGGCTTGGTTTGTCTGCATTTCAATCCCGTGATGCACAATCTATGACGTCATCCGTGGAAAACTCTATTTCATCCAAGGCCTTGTAATTATGACTGATTTGATGACGATCCTAGTGAAGATCCATAATTATTTGACGACGCAAACCGTGTTATATACTTGTGCTATGTACTTGTGATATCCAAGATTTGCCTCGTGAGTTCATGACTTTTGATGACGCAAACCGTGGTACACACTTGTGCTATGTACTTGTGAAATCCCGCAAGGTTTGCCTTGTGAGTTTATGACTTTTGATGACGCAATCCTTGGTATATACTTGTGCTATGTACTTGTTATAACCATGCTTTGCCTTGTGAATCTTTGACTTTTTATTTCGCAATCCGTGGTATATACTTGCTCTATATACTTTGTCTCATGAATCGTATCCATATTACTTGACTACGCAAACCGTGGTATATTGGTAGTATTAAAATCCATTCCAGTCCACCTTTGTTTAGAGTGTCATAAAACGCGCCATTTCCATCAATTGCACTGATAGTTTTACGAAACTTTCAAAGAAAAACTGTCCCAACATCTTAACTGAAAAGTACCCAAGGCTTTGTTCCAGAACTTTTGTCAATTTTGTTGTTAAAGCGTTTGCACTGCAGCGTACTTGACATAAACAGTGTTCTCCATCCCACGACTTCAGCGGCGCTTTCAATATCCTTCTCCACACTTCCGTTAGATTTCTTGAACAAGATTGACCACAGTTCGTCAGTGTAACATACGGCACGAAGTCGTTTACTTGTCTGTAAAAAGAAATAGAACAATCTATCAACATAATAACAATTTTTTTACCGACTATAAACTGATAATTATTTTAAATCTGAAGAAAATATTGGGAACAGAGACACATATATATGCCTTCTCTTCAACGATTTTGCTTAATATTTTGAAAGTTCTCAAATTGCAATCGCTTAAAGGCTAGTGCAATAACAGTAACTTTCAAAACATTACGAGTACCTATTAATAAAGAATTGTACTCGAGGTTCTGCAAATTCCAATGAAAATAATTTTAGTTTTCTTAGTATCTCAACCGATAAAAATCAAACGTTTTGCATGTCACGCTCAAAAATATTTTTGCTGATTGACTTTAGCTTTATTTGGTTTGTCAGCTTCATTTGTTTGCTTAGCTGGTGTTCGTTWATGTCGTTGCAGCTATGAGATTAATTAGTGACTTTTTTATCTATTCAGTTCAATGTAATATGAATTCATCCTTTTCTTTCGTTCGATTTTTGATCTTACACGATGTAACTAAATGATGTTTTTCTTTTTCGTTTCCTTGTTTGTTTCTGTTTAAACCAGCTTCAAGCTATTTACAATTCAAGACCATTATCCAAAGAACGAAAATCTAAATAAACTTGCGCAAATTGTAAACATTGTAAAATGAAAAATGCATTTGCACTCGTGAATGAATTTCAGTCAGAGTGAAAAATAAATTTTAAATCGAAAAGCTAATTTTGTTCATCAAAATATGACTTTTGATCCTATATATTCCAACTTTAATCGGTATACACCAATTTCAAAAACAACGCGGTCTGAAATCCGAAACTCAAAGAAAAGTTTTGTGCTTAAATATTTTCTGGCTTAAATATGAAAAATCACATTTCTAATTCAAAAGTCATGCCTCGTATTCCAAACTAAAAGGAAACTACGTTGTTTGGCTTTGAATATATTATACAATACGTAGTGTGCTACTTGGTCTCAGATTTGATATTTCAGATGTCCGACCTACAACTTTTTTTGAAATAGGTGTACTGACATTGAACACATAATTCAGTATATGTTAAAAATACTAGTTAGGAACTTTCATACAAACCTGAGCAAGCCTTCCAATAGATTCCGGCTCTAAATTCAAGCATATTTTTCGTATTACATCTTCAGGGAGGTCCTCCAATGAGTATGACGATGCGGGAGAGACTATATTCAATACCTGTTCAAGAGTGTCACAGCCAAGCACACGCGCTATCTCTGTTTGTAAAGATTTCTTCTCGATGAACTCCTCGCTGGAGAAGATGGACTGAGCAGGTGAACGGCTGTCGCTGATACGAAGATTAATACTCCATGATCGCCAAATGACATGTCTATCGGCTTGGACAGTAAGCTGATAGAAGTCCTTACTCGGCGGTGGAGCAACGCCTTCTTTCTTGAAAACAACTCGACTTTCAGTCATCTTTAGAGAAGATCCTCCTTTACATGTTGTCAATAATAAATATCAACGTTGTGCCGAAGGTTTTTAAATTTATTTAAGTTTCCGGTGGTTTAAGTTTCAAATGTAAAGAAAACGGTGTAACTCCTCATCGATTCGTCTCCGGTATCCTAAGAAACGGCCCTCAAATATGCCAGACTGACTCCAGTAATTTTTGTAGTGAAAAATGACGATTAACTTCCCTTTTCTAAAATAAACAGTACTTAAACGTTATGAGATGTACAAGATTGATGATTTAAAATGCACTTATGAGGGAGATCAACCTTCAAAGCGGTCCGGAAACCAAAGTAGAATTTTTCAATTTAATTTGACCTGAATATGACAATAAACAAGCTAGCAGGTAGTTCATAGTATGATGGATTTGTGAGTGTACAACAAAAGAATCTTTTATACAACGCGAAGCGCCGCAATCAAATAAACTCGGCCTAATAATGAAAACCTCTTGTGATGTAACACGATGGCTTTTCTAATTAGTCCATTTCGCAAAACGAAAAACATTTTAATTTTATTTTTCAGAGACATGAAATTTATCAAAACCTGAAGCAACCAAAGTCTGAGCCGCTTCACAGTCACACCACGGCTAACTAACGGATCGCATTGCCGGAATTTAGCGTGTTAGGTTTTGCGCACAAAAATCAATCATTTTACGCTCGCGCCATTGGTGTTAAGAGAAGATTTTATAAATACATGAATTTAAAAATACAATAGCATTTGTACATACTTTTTTTAGAGTTTCAATAATTGTACGGTGTTTCGAAAGATAAAAGGTGTCCATTATTGACCATCCTTATCGCATTGGCTTTATTACTAAGATCAAATCATTGCACTAATAATCTTTTTTTTTTTTTTTTTTAATTAATAAATTGCGGTTAGTTTCGCAATCTCTATCACGCACAACAAAGTTTTTACAATTTTAGGTGAATATTAGAAAAGAAAGGTGTCCATTATTGACCATCCTTATCGCATTGGCTTTATTACTAAGATCAAATCATTGCACTAATAATTTTTTTTTTTTTTTTTTTTAATTAATAAATTGCGGTTAGTTTCGCAATCTCTAGTTTCTAATTCTCTGTTTCTCAGGATTAGTCCCGATTTTGTATAGAATACATATTCATGTGTTCTAGTGAAGGTCCGAGGATTTTCAAAGTGCTCGTATAGACCCCTTGCATGTGACGTCAAAGCAGCTCGATCTGGTGGACAAAACAAAAGAATTCCAATCTCCAGAGAATTGGAACATATTTTTTTGTCCCCCAGATTGAGCTGCATTTCAAAGTGCTGCAAGGAGTCTATCATTGAGATTGTTCACTCTTTATTTTAATGTTGGTATTTGTAAATATTTTAACGCTGAAATTAGACCAAGACTAAGCAAGGAACATAGCGGAATTTTACGAATTCGAAGATCCATGGACTTAGCAGTCTCTTCCGCAGCCGTCATTAGTTTCGGTCCCAGATCCTCACGGCTCTATACTGCAATGTATATCCATCTACATCTGCAACTGTTGCGCGCAAGAGTTTATGCAATGCAAAAGTAAAATGGAGATTTACTTCAGCAAAGATATGAGCAAGACCTGCAACGTTGATGACAATGACGTGAAATGCCAAGRAATACTGCTTTTGGAACGGTTGGCTGAAATTCTTCAATGCATGAGTAGCTTTTTCAACCACCTTCCCCTGTTTTGACATAACGTTTTTTTGAAGAAAAAGTTGATTGGTAAAACATCTCTCGCCAACAAAGTTGTAAACAACAATTGAACCATATGTCCGATCATTTATTCTACTTTTAGGCTGAATCCAAGTTATCCCCAAGTCAAACAAAGGCCCCTTGTACTCACACAACACGGACGGCGACTTTTCTGCTGCCTTCGATGACGCAAATTTTGATCCAAGCTCCGCAGTCCACCTGAAGGTTCCGTCAGGTGGGGATAGTTTTCATCACGTCATGTTGCTAACCGTACGAATCTCAAGAGACGATTGTACTTATATTGTTATTGCTCTACTGATGCTTGGCCTCTTCTTGGAGTTGGTTCCTTGCAGTTTGGTGCAACTGGGCCAGTGGACTGGGATCTGYTTACTTCTACAGTGTTTTACGTGGAGAAGCCACTATGGCATGTCCCTAAGATGGAGGTCCTTCCCACTAACTGTATTCCTATTCTTTTTGAAAACACTTATATACTCTTGAATTCGGTGATCGTGTCAAATCATCCCACGATGATCCTGAATAATGTTCCCGGTAGTTAGGTGTCAGTGCCTCTGATATTTGAGAACTAAGTTTTAGAGGTCCGCAGGAAACTGCTACTAATCCTAACTGCTAAAGCGCTTTTATAATGGTCCTATTTATTCCGTACTCCAGCGTCACAATTTTATGCATGACACATTTGCCACCAGTCTTTCTTTGAAAACGAAAAAGAGACATCACAAACAGTTCACATACGGCATAACTTTATCCCAATAATAATTCGTAGGCCTTTGCAATCACTCCTCCTCTAAGCACGAGAAAGTATGAGAAAGTGGAAGAAGTACAGATTAAACACATTCGTAACTTTTTCCCCATAATTGTTTTCGGGAAGCGTTCGTTACAAGTCTTTCTCCTAAATCGAATAATGGCGGATTAAGTATATGCATACGTTGCAACTATCAAGAGTGCAACTATCAAGATCTTCATGGATCAAAGACTACTGTGATTAATGTGAGCTTCGGTTGAAAATGGCACATCCAATTTTGAAAATCCTGTCGCGGATCCTTCACCGAGATGTTCTCCAAATTTTCCGGCCATTATAATAATGTCAGGACGGTGACAGTTGGTCGCCGTGAAATTTTGGACATTCCAAGTATTCATCCTTGAAACATTGAAATTTCTTTGAAAGCACTGACAGAACCATTGTCTATATTTTTGGCGAAAATGTTTGGTCAAGCTACCATATATGACAGGATTTACACAGCTGTGGGATAGAGCAATGAGTCGCGAGTACACGATAAAATTAATATAATGCTTAGCTACTCTTTCCGCGTTACTCTTGACCTCGTATTGAATCCTGACTATGAATAATGGGAGCATAAATAGAGCGAATGCGATCACAATCACAGCTAGAGTCTTTATTATCTCTAGATTTTGTCTACGCCCAGCGTTCATGTTCAAGTTCCCTTGCACGTAGGCGACCCGTGGGATCCTCTGGCGGTACAAATGCATCCCAAGACGAAAGTACGAAAATGCAATGATCAAGAGAGGTATAGGGAAAGCAATAACATATCCGATTATCCTGTAGATTTGAAATAAACGGTTTTGACAATCTGTTAATGGGATGACCACACAACTTTTACCAAAGTAGCCGACCCGATAGAAGATTAAAGGTAGAAGAAAGAGATAAGACAAAACCCATATGACAATACAGCAAACTACAGCAGTTTTGAGTTTCATCTTTGCTTTAAAGGGATTCAAAAGAACCCGGCATCTGTGAACAGCCATGACAACGATAGCATATATCCCCACGTAATGGCAAAGAGTCGGTATTATTTCCACAAATTTACAAACGGAATCCGTCCAGTTAATATACTCCAGGTTTGTGTCCAATTTTAATGGGAATTTGACCATGATGATCAGCCAGTCTGTAAGGCACAGATTGATGATCATAACATCCTGGTCCGTCTTTTTAGACTTGGTAACAACGACAGCTAACACGAGTATATTGGCTACTGAACCAATAACAAGAGTCATTACATGAATAGCAAGGTTTATCTGGCTGCTGAGCTTTCCTTCGTCGAGAGGAACAAACGAGGTTCCAACAAGGCTTGTGTTGTTCATGGTCAGTGTACAATGTGGACAGGACTTGTGTGCTAAGAAAGAGAAAACACAAATCTTCTTCACTGAATAATAGGAATGCGAAAAATTACTCCGCAGTTTGCAAGGATACAAGGCTACAAGGTTAGAGGCGAAACTAGTCCGAATAGTAAACGTGACTTTCATTATGCTATAGCTATATACCCAGGTTTCTGTTAGTTGCTACAGCTGCTATACAAATGAATGACATAATGAGAAATGTTTTCTTTGATAAGAAAAATAAATATTGTATCTAGAGTACTGAATCATGTCATCCAGCAATGATTTCCTCTTTGTGCGCAACGCACAATACTGAACACGAGAAAGTTTTTGACACTCTCACCATATACTTCACACGTTTGAGAAATCGCGAGGAAATTAAAATCGAACCCCCGTTCATACCAAAAAACAGGGAAAAAAAAAAAAAAAAAAAAAAAAAAAAAATCGCAAATGTTAAAGCAGAGGTAAGCAGAGGATTCTTCAAGATCTGTCGGTATAGGATGGCTTTAAGTTTTTTTTTCATGGTAAAATTTCAAACTTAAATCCTGCAGTGGAATAGAAGCCGGAGTGGGAGTAAGCTTTTCTTATATCTTTTCTATTAAAAAATATTTTTGACACAAAAATGCAAAGAAACGTTTTTCGTTTGCTTAAAAAAGGTTGCGCATGCCCAGTAACGGAACACTTTTTTTGTATCCAATGTTTACAAATTCATTTCCTTTCACGCGGAGCCAGTTTTTGCCATTCTCTCTGAACTACCCGACAGCAAACTTTAGTTGTCTCATATTACACATTTTTGTTGTTTCATTACACTTGATTGTATTTACAGCAACGCTTAAATAAACATTCTTTGCAAATAAGTCATATACACCTATGTCATCCCAGAAAGGATTACCTTGATTAAGATACTAAAGAGCGCAGGGGCACTTAAATATTTAGATTTAAGTTTTCTCTTTCCTTATTTCTTGTACGATTTTTCTCATCCCTTCCTTTTTTCTTTTAGTCGTTTCTCCCTGCGCAAACGAATGAAAATTGCAGTAAGGTAACCTTACTGCAATTTTCATAACATGCGAACTCTGTGTCTCCGAGTTGCAAGCTGAAATTTGGTTTTTCGCTACCGTCAGTAGCATATGAAAGGTACCGACTGATTAGGTTTGATAGAACGACAGCGAAAAACCAAATTTCAGCGCGCAGCTTGCAGACACAGAGTTCGCATGTTTATGAAAATTGCAGTAATAAAATGTCAATTAATTTGGATAACGATGACTTTCTTCCTTTCCCCTGTCTATGATGGCACTCACGTTTCCACTATATTTGTCCATTGTTTTTCTTCCTTTTCTCTCCTCTTTGACTCGGTCCTCTCCGCACTACTAGCTAAGCAGTTCCTTCACCTTTCTAATTATTTTCTTGTTAATTTGCCCATCGTAATTTGAATTTCTAAAAACAATTAAAAGGATTTGTATGAGAAAGAGGAACAAATAAATGCGTACGCGCTTAAACCAGGTTTTTAGACAGAACGTAACGACAATGTAACGAAGATTCGATTGAAATCTAAATAAGACTAGAAAAACTGTTTCTTACTTGTTTTTTTTTTTCAAGGGACCAAGGTATAAATGCAGGCGTCGATATCTCACTGGAACTTGAAAAGTGGAAGGTCTTATCCGGCACCAGCAGCTATACAATTTATAGGCATCATCATTTGAGTCCCCGGCTCTATATTGGCTGAATTAGGTCCGATTGATTTTCCTCATGCACCAATCAGCTTACGGCGATATTAATTACACGAAATGTACATCTGTCTTGTGGGGATGGATTTGAGGGTAATCATAATATCTTATTTGTTTATGGCTGCATGTAAAAAAAAAACGAACTTTGTAACTTATCAGTCTCAGGTTAATTGGTGTTTTTTCAGTTGAGCAAAGCCGCGATAGAGTCGTCCAATATATTTATTAACCTGAACCCTCGTTAGCAACGTCATGTTTTCTATCTCTATTTGCCAGCCAACTTAAAGATCAGTTAGTTTATGGAGCCCTAAAACAATGCAAATTTAAGGCACAGCAAACTAAGAATTAATTTCCGTGTTGGGTTCAGCTGCTTTGTGGGAGTGGCTTCATTGACAGTCCAAAAACTGGCTATTGTTTTCAGGTGTTGTTTTCCTTCATCCGCAAAAATCAACACTTTTAAATTCCAACTCATTTACTAAAAGGGGGTCAGTCTTTTTTTAATCACAGGGCAACAATAATTTAGATTAAAAACCAATACTGAACCTTTTTACACTTTTTACCGGTTATCTTTAAAGCTAAAAAGTTCATTTCTTCTATCGTCCCTGCGTCAATATCGAAAGGTATATTAAGCGTAAAGTCGTGTTTGTTTATCCAGTTTCTCTAATTTTCATTTTGACATTTTGATTAGTTTTGGGAAAAATTCATTTTAATGTTTCTTACCGACCAGATGCCTGAAGAAAAAAAAAAAGAATTTAAACGGGTTCTGTTAACTAGCTGTGTTGAAAATTCTAAAAAGTTCAGCATTAAAAACTTTGTCTCTGACATCGACCTTCTTTAAAAATGAGACATTTAAATGCCAATTATCTCTCTTTCTTTTTCTTCTATTGTCTTTTTTTCTTTGATGCGTTTTTGGAAAGAAAAAAAATCAAATTATCAGAAGTTAAGAAAAGATATCATATTTTATACAGATGCGTCTCTTTCTAGCTTAGTCTCATTTTTCGTTGCAGATTGGCATCCTGTCAACACATGTCTACGACGCTGGGTGCATGAGTTTCCTTGTTGTTCCTTGTTGTGTTCCGCTCCTCGACCCTCGTGGCTTCGCGACTCGCCTTGACTTCAAAGACAAGCATACGAGACCTTATTCAAAGCGTATTTAAAAAATTCCACTCTGAAGAGGGTATTCAAAAAGTTGCGGATTCGCCGGCCGTATTCACCAATACGTGTGGAAGGTTGGCCAACCCCCTAACTGCAAAGTTGCGGATTCAAAAATGTCTGGATACGTGCGAATATGATCAGCTGCTAATAAATTAACAATCAAAGAAGCCATAACGATTATAATACATGTCGATCTTTCAGCCAGCATATACTACTTACCAAAATTCGGTTTCATAAGTTATAACCCTTGCTGCCGCGGAAACAAAAAAGCCATGCAAAAAACATTAGCTGAAGATGGCGACTGTCTTACTCTTTAGCAAGATGATTTGGAGCTTGGTAGGCAAAGCAAACTAAAGTAATGGAAAATTATTTATTATTTTTCCATTTTCTTATTAGCCAGTTCCCAATTACATTTCCGGATACGATTTATTTGCGCAATAACTTTAAAAACGCTGACATTTATAACTCTCTAAGGTTGGAAAAATTTTAATGACATTACATGTATGAAAATAAAGTGCATTTATGGTCAGCATTATTGAGGAATTAAAGTATATATTTTTTATTTGTATACATATGTCAAAACCGGAATATGACACACATAAAATTCATAAAAAAACCTAGGACTTAAGTGAATAGGAAAAATCTAGAGCCCCTTTTACATTACCCATCTCCCTTCCATCTTTATGTTCATTTTTTAAATTTCATTTATCCCAAACATTACTGTTTATCCAATTATTCATTCAATCGTTCACTATATTTTGATTGATTGGGCTTTTTTAGAACGACATTATTTGAATTTACTGTACATTTCCTACTTTATTATTATTTATTTCTTAAAAATAAATCTTCTATCAAATGTACTAAACTGAATAAATAATTTACATTAAATTTAATAATATTAGCATTTATTGCTAGAAACATTCACAAAATCTCTCATCAATATCAAAACATTTAAGCAACATATTCATACTTACATTATTAATCTATCAACATACTGAATTATTAAAATGTCTTATTTCATGGGAAATAAAAATGTGGAATTTAGATAAAACTGCTTTAAAGACCTTATACATTTAATGGTGTTTTGATGAAGTTTTGAAGGAGTCAAATTTGAATAATGGAAGTATTAATATTTATTTCATGCTCAATTCCATTCATTAAGAAATTTTAGGACCCCTTGCCAACATAGAAATTTTTCTACATAGCTTTTCCACATGATCTCTTTTTCGAAGATGACTCAACCCCTCCACTTTATATATACTTTATATATTATGATAAAGCTGAAATAAAGCCATTCCCATGCATCTAAAACCTGAAGTCCTGATTCAACTAAATCTGGGGGAACAGGATCTTTTTAAATTTTAATTTACTAACTAGGAATTATTTTTTAGTTAATCAATAGTTGGTTAAAAAAGTCAACTAAATCTGGAGGGAAGTTAGCCTGTTTACTAGTATTCAATCATTCCCACTAAAGAGGATGAAAAAAACAAATTTAAGGAAATCATGGCAGCTATTTTGGTTGAATAACATGAGACTAATAATTGAAAATGTTTTGTTAATTCAACCAATAGGCAACTATGAAAACCAACCAGCAAAAAAGATGAATTAGATTAACAGAAATTTGCTGATGACCCCTAGCAACAAAAAATATTTAAAATATTCCACAATAAAGAAAATTTTGCTGCCATCAAGATGAATGTAGTGCAAAGTTTATTGTCGGAATTTGAGGAATAGCAGTCATGTAAACTATGAAGTGCAGGGATGTAGAGTTAATATTATTTATGGAGATTAAATAGATAACCAAGTATCATACCAGCATATAAATAGTGCATTTTTATTAGAAACATTTGATTTAAGAAACCTTTTTTTATATATTTTAAAATGAAGACTGACGACTCACTCCCTTAGATAGGGAAATAAAGTCTAAAGAATAAAATTAATGTGAAAAAGTGGAGTAGTGGAAGAGCAAAGGTATTGATGGGAAGAATTAATAATTGTGAAATTATGCTTATTAGTTAGCGGCAGTCTGACCATGATCTCAGGTAAGAGGGGTTAGGATCCTCCTTCACATTTTATATACACTCATACTATTTCAGTATCAGCTGAGACCCTCTTAAATGTAAGTTAGATGAAAAATATATGTATTCATGGAATTTGGAGCATGAGGAGCTGCATTGATTGGTGATTTATACTGATACAGCATGTTTACTAGAATGTTTCTTGCAATTTAAAAAAGTACTGAGTCTTAGGATTGGTTCAGCCTATACAAACACTTAGGTGGAGGA